ATAGATGTTTGATAGGAAAGAAAGGAGAGATAAGGAAGATAGATGTTTGATAGGAAAGAAAGGAGAGATAAGGAAGATAGATGTTTGATAGGAAAGAAAGGAGAGATAAGGAAGATAGATGTTGGATAGGAAAGAAAGGAGAGATAAGGAAGATAGATGTTGGATAGGAAAGAAAGGAGAGATAAGGACGATAGATGTTTGATAGGAAAGAAAGGAGAGATAAGGACGATAGATGTTTGATAGGAAAGAAAGGAGAGATAAGGACGACAGATGTTTGATGGGAAAGAGAAGGAGCATCCCACACCAGAGCACCCGCCAACCACTCACCGTGTAGTTTTACACCACGTATAGGGATAGCACGGCAAAGTGTTCACTATACAAAACTTTGTTTGCTCAGTAGGCCTACCTTGTTTGGAGAAGTTTGACGTTAAAAATTCCGAGTCTCATAACATGTCAAGCCCAGTCGAATGAAGTTCTCTGAATATCTTGACAACGACTGGGAATAACCTTACGAGTTTTGATAGATCAGCAGATAGAACATTCATGGATTTCTGACCTCATGGTCTCAGTAACTCAAAACGGCCAAACATGTTAGATCAACCTTTGTAATTTTCACCTGGCAATGTACTAATGGACAAGATGACAACATGGCTGGGAGCAGCAAGAACAACAGACACCATTGCTGCATCGAAAGAAAGACGGAAGTGGAGGTCCATGATCGCCCACGCCAGTCGGCAAGGCATCGGATGATGATGAATGTACTAAACCTACCAAGCAATTTTTTTTCAGGAGAGAAAAAAACCCAACCTATTCCATTCTCAATAGATAGACAGCATTTGTATAGGGCAAATCTCCGCTCAACAGCAAGCTCTATGCGCTTCACAATCTATACCATTGCCCCAGCACACCTGAGAACATTCTGAAACAACCTCAACTTCCTGGGAAACATAGAGTACAAGCGGTCATTTATAGGCGCTAACACAATGGCATACTGACAAGATCTTTCGCTGTGTATGGCCGGGTACCCATTTCCACCTGGGTGAAGTGAGGAAAATTAGTGTAAAGTGCCTTTCCCAAGGACACAACGTCGGGCCCACGGCTCGAACCCCCGAAAATGTAACCTTACGATTACGAGTCCGGTAGCCTAGTGGAGCACAGGCCATCAACAACATTACTCCAGCGAAGTCTGTCATGAGCATCATTTTCTATCTGTTTCCATGATGTCCCCGCTTTTTCAATTTCCGCTTGTACCGCTCGCCTCCATGTCATCTTTGGTCTTCCCTTCTTACGCTTTCCACGTTAAATCCTGCCTGATGATGCTTGTCGGGGGTCTCCTCAGGGTGTGTCCAATCCATTTCCATTTCTTCACCTGAATATCTTCCTTTAC